AAGCGGATGCAATATTTGTGTTCAGGAGGTCGAAACTCTCCAAGGACAGAATTTCAGGTCGCCATCCGGAAAAAGGATAGGTAAAAAACTGGTCTGATTTGGATGGGGCACTAAACGGCACTAAACGGTAAAAAGTGCCTCAACGATTTGTTCACTATTTAATGTTGATACTCATTTGTCCATCCTTTGTTTTTTACTTGTGAACGTGTTCCTTTTCGAGGCAATAGATCAACGCCTCGCCGATGTCGTTGGGGCTGTTTCATCTATGATTGGAGGGACTTCTATTGCTTTTTCCTATGGACCGGCTATGGCACCGATTGGAGTTCTTACCGCTGGCGTAAGTAATTGTGGGGATCAAGGTTTCCTCCATTGAACCTCGATTTTCCAGACTCTCATCACTTTACAAACTTTGGTTGCCCGGTATTTAAAAATGCGTGGTCAAAAGGATGCTGTATTAGCGGAGGAACCGTCAAGGGTATGCGGCTAAAGTCTTTCGGTAATTTTGATTTCTTGAACATTTTTTTAACTTGACATGATGCTTAATTCCAGCTGGCGACGGAGGCGATAGAACAACATAAAACAGTCCAATATCTTACAAAAGAACGGCTGTTTGTGGACAAGTTTGTTACGCAAATGCGTGGTCCTCATAGGAGAGCAATATATCGGGGTAAGGGTCATAGAATGAGTGAAGATGATTAGGCAAGCGATATGAAATCCTGGGCTACGGTATGAAATCCTGGCTCCCTCACGGACCAACCAAGCCTTTCATCACTCCGGAATACGACATCTGATGCCGCATTTGTCTATGATGTTAAAAATTGTTGGAAATCTGGGTAGCTCTGCTAGCAGGACAGCGGGAGAGGGAGCGTATTGTGTCGGCTGTGTCTTAATTGATATTATGCAATCCCCTTCTGCCCTGTACGCTACCTCCCTCGCGCTGCAAGCCCTGAACTACGAATCTAGCGGTCTTATGGTCCTTTTCCACTGCTGTACTGTTGGATAATACCCCCTATTGAATTAATATGACTATGCCCATACGATTAATAAAAAATGACTCGTATAAACTGAAAGGCCAAACCCCTTCTGGACCTGGACATCAACAGAGCCGAATTTAGCAGTTTTTTGGGGAAAACAGCTGGAATTTCTAGAAATACTCCGGAAAATACATAGCACGTTCGAAGAACGCAGGAATTCAGAAAGATGGAAGGTGGGTGTAGTGTGGGGAAGGGGGAAGGCCACATCAGAGGCCTCTTCTCCATGCTCTAACGTGCCTCAGTGGGTCTAAAAGAGTTTAATGTTCAGTGCACTCCTTTGAGTTGCCCGACCTTTTTCCATCTCTCACTACTTCACCTCTTCTAACTAATCTATACTAGCTTCTGGCTTAATATTCCGTATATTTCCAGGCATCATTCAATCGTTGACCTATTCCCTCTCAGTCAGTTTTGTTAATTTCAACTTTGCCATCGCCTATCGATACGGTATCTGGTTGGTCAGAAGAAAGACGTGTTCTCCATACACGGTCTTCCAGTAAGCTAGCTATTTCGCTTGTTTCACGTCTTGAAACAGAACGCTTCTTTAACTTCAGGGTCATTGAAGCACTGAACACTGCCTCGATGTCACTGATCGCTTTCGCCACTTATTTCCCAGAATACGTCCGTGCTCGACTATCTGCCGCGCTTCTTTTCCAGATGCTGAGAGATAAACCAAAAATTGACAGTCTTTCTCCGCTGGGAAAGCAAACTGTGAGTCCACTCCCTTCTTTTTTTCCTAAGGAAGTGAAATCATTTGCTTCTTACAGACCTTAGAAGGATCTATCCATTTTGCGCGGCTGTCATTCTCATATCCTGTCAGTCGCAGAGCTATGGTACTCAAAGGTATCACTATAAAGGTACTCAATTGATACAAACCTCTTTTTGCAGTTGGCTCCCCAACTGAACGCTTTTTTCCAGATTCCTGCTGGGAAGACTGTAGCGCTAGTTGGACCTAGCGGCTGCGGAAAGAGTACGTCTATTCAGCTTATTGAAAGGTTCTACGATCCAGTGGCTGGAGCTGTGGTAAGGTTTCTGCGAGGTGTCCAGATCTTTGCTATCGAGTAATTTGTTTATAAAGTGCGGTGTTTAACACCAATATACACAAGTTGGTTTGCCGCCATCTTTGACGGGCGCATTGCCTCCTTCATTACTTTTTCATTTCCTCCATTCCTTCACAACCTAGTAGCTGCCAATTTGTGCGATGCGGCCCAAAGGTCTTACATGAGGCCGGTTGGGTCCCTTG